AGATTGGCAGAGTTTTGGGACCAAGATGGGCTGCCTGTAGTTTAAGGTCAACCATAGCTGTGTGGCGGGCTTATCCAGCTCTACATCAGTTTTTTCTGGGCAATGAAAGATTCCCAGGCATGGCTTCCTGTTTTGAAAATCTAAATTTTTTGAAGAATTTGGCCCTCATGATCGATATTCCAAATGAGATTTCTCTTCTGTCAAATGCCCTGCAGGGGAGAAACACAGATATCAGCAAGGCCGAAAAATTAGTATTGCGATCAATTAAAGCATTTGAAGTGCTTAGATGGGGAAAGGGCACATATGAAAAAAACATTGATGCAATGCTAGCTTCAGAAGCCTTCAAAAACATAAAATTAATTCCAAATCAACAATTTGTTGCCCTTTCTCGTGAAAACCTTTTGGCAAGCATCATCACCAATTTGAATAAAAGTCTGATGGATTGTGACCATCTAAAAACAGGTAGCCAATTGCCAGACGCAAACAAATTACACTTTATCACATATTTGGAGCTGGATTACTGGAACATTGAAGATGTAGTCATTCCATGGGCTTCTGCAGCATTGATTGAATTTGGTGAAATTTTTAATTATGAAATTGATTTGAACGACTACAGAGATTTTTTAGAAAATGTGCTCAAAAATCCAAACAAGTACAAAATTCCTGACGGTATCAGAAAAGCTAGAGATATTGTCAGCACAATTGCTGTTAGTTCAGCAGAGGCGGAAAGGGGTTTCTCGAAAATGAACCTCATATGTTCAGAGCAAAGAACCATCCTAATTGTTCCAAATGTAAGTAATCTGATGATGATAAGCTTTGTTGGCATGCCTGTTGAGAGATGGGACCCAATTCCTGCAGTGAAAAAGTGGTTCAGAGCGCACCATCACACNCAGCATAATTTATTCTCTTGTAATCCCTTCCTCTGCAATCTCTCCATTTAGATCAGAGATCTTCAAACTTGGCAACTTTAAGATTTGTGGATTTCAACTCCTAGAATTCTCCAGCCAGCATAATTTATTCTCTTGTAATCCCTTCCTCTGCAATCTCTCCACTTAGATCAGAGGTCTTCAAACTTGGCAACTTTAAAACTTGTGGATTTCAACTCCTAGAATTCTCCAGCCAGCAGAGCATAGCATAGCTGGCTGGATAATTCTGGGAGTTGAAGTTCACAAGTCTTAAAGTTGCTGAGTTTGGGGACCTCTGCCCTATACCCTATATAATTCCTGGCAAGTGGTTGGCCAATCTCTTCCTAAAAGCCTCCAGTGATGGAGCACCCACAACTTCTGGTTGATTGTTCTCACTGTTTCTCCTTAATTCCAGGTTGCTTCTCTCCTTAATTCGTTTCCATCCATTGTTTCTTGTCCTGCCTTCAGGTGCTTTGGAGAGCAGGTTGACTTCCTTTTCTTTGTGGCAGCCCCTCAAATACTGTAAGACTGCTATCACATCACCCCTAGTCTATCTTTTCACTAGACTAGCCAAACCCAATTCCTGCAACCGTTCTTCATGTCTCTTAGTCTTTTGGCCTTTAATCATTTTAGTTCCTCTTCTCTGCAAGTCTTTCCAGATTCTCAACAACTTTTTAATAATGTGGTGACCAAAACTGGATGCAGAATTCCAAGTGTGGTCTTACTGAGGCTTTATATAGCGGTACTAATGTTTCACATGATCCTTATTCTATCCCTCTGTTAAAGCAGCCCAGAATTTGCTTCACACACCAGCTTGAGGAGCGTGTCTGGCAAAATCGAAAGCTTATTCATAGTCTTGTAACGTTCTGAAATGATTGTCCCATAACTGTGGAATGGCTTGTTTTTCCCCTGAATAAACTCTGCAGCTTCCAACAGCTGTTATGATGGGAAATGAGACTTTCTGTTGACTTTAGATTTCAGTTGGCAGAAGAAAAACATTAGAAAGTCTGCCATCTTACATCTGCTGTCAACAGAATTTGGGACTGATGTAAGCTCTTATTTTTTGTCTCTTTTATTTTATTTTTTTTAAAAACCCTAAATCCTTGCTGATTTTTTGTGATATCCAAGGAGAAAAGCTCTCCTTGTGAGCAAATGGATTGTCCTTGTTCACTGAAGTGCTTTGATGGGTTTCTCTAATAGTTAGTTACAGAACTAGGCAGTGCGAGTTTTGGAAGTTATGGGGAGCCTTGGCTGGCAATAGAATACATATTGTGCAGTTTAAATGTATGGGCGTGACATGAGCTTTGTATAATATTTACTCTTCTCCTAGTGAGGGGGAAATTGGAACTGCACCAGCATCTGTTCCACCCTAAAGATGCCAGGCAAATTTACTATCACCCAGGACACCTCCTGGGATTTTATAAAGCAATCTGTCAGGCCTATCCCACCTTCGGCGTTCAGAAAAGAAAGACCCTCGACTCCATCCAAAAGGTATACTTTTACTAAAGCCAAATGGCAAAGCCAGATCTGAATATTCCCACATAAACCCAGTGATTTTCCCTTCTCCTAGCTCTCCCCCCTCCCGTTCATTTCTTAAATGTTCAATGGTATTCAGACTAGATGTTTTGGTAACAGTTCTAAAGTTTGGCACTTCTTTGGTAGGTGTTTGCATTCCATTCCCATGCCTATGTCCTTGGATCTTTCAACCATTGTCTCTGGTTGGCCCCTTTGGTTCTTGTCACTCCCCCCTCCTGACATTCCTCTCCTCCCTCCTCCTCCCTTTTTGTGGCAGGATGCCATCAAAGCGAAGTGTGAAGCAATGGGATGGCAGATCTGGCACAATATTTGACTGCCCTTCTCTTCCCTTCAGCGCTTACATTCCACTTGGATGAAACGTCTGAGATTAACACATCTTTGTCCAGTAGCCATGATTCAACCTTTAGACACCTTTGGCCTGGATGACTGGGTGTCTTCATTGACATATTGCAAGCCATTTTGGGGAGAAATTTCTGAAGTTGGCGTGGCAAGAGTTGGTACATTCCAGCGACTCTCTGACTCCCTGCCTAGCTAATTTTGCTCTGACTGATGAAGTTGCTTGGATGGGCAACGAGACACCTTGGAGTAACAAAGTTTGGGCCAGTTGCTTTGACTCAACCTTTAGACATTACACTGGAATGCTATTTTGGGCTTTAGAAGGACAAGCTGAGATTCATTCCCCTTCTGCTAAATTCTTTGAGACCCCAACATGATATAAGTCAGGGCTGTCCAAACTTGGGAACTTTAAGACTTGTGGGCTTCAACTCCTAGAATTCGCCAGCCAGCTACTGGCTGGGGAATTCTGGGAGTTGAAGTCCACAAGTCTTAAAGTTCCCAAGTTTGGACAGCCCTGATATAAGTAATGAGCTGGTTACTCAGCTTTCAGCAACTCCCGGGATGTAGTTTTCACACCTGTTGTATATGTTGGGTTTTGTTTGTATGTGTCGTAAATGAATGATGTCGACATGAAAAGTATATGAAAGAGTTAACATTCATTTATTTCCATCATCTCCTCCATCTATTTGAAGGTCTTTGAACTGAAGTGGTAGAAATCAGGATGATTATATAATATTTTCCATGGTGATGGTTTTGTGATTAGGATAGCAGTGCCCCAGCTGTGTTCCAACTGTCAGCTTCAAATCTTGATTCAAGTGGCAGATCTGGGACCCCTCAGTACATTATAAGGTGCTCCGGTAAAGCTCTTCCTGGAGGTACTGAGTGAATCGCAATTTAAGCCTTCTTTCCTTCCTTCCTTCCTCCCTCCCTCCCTCCCTTTTCTTTTCCTTCTTCCTTCCTTACTTCATTTGTCCCTTCCTTTCCTTTCCTTCTCTCCTTCCTCCCTCCCTCCCCTTTCCTTTCCTTCTCTCCTTCCTTCCTTCATTCCTTCATCCCTTCCTTTCCTTCTCTCTTCCCTCCTCCCTCCCTCCGTCCCTCCCTTCCCTTCCCTTTTCTTTTCTCCTTCCTTCCTTCATTCGTCCCTTCCCTTTCCTTTCCTTCTCTCCTTTCTTCCCTTCCCTTCTCTCCTTTCTTCCTTCCTTCCTTCTTCCTTCCATTTTTCCCCCCAGGGACGACAGCCCATGTGGGGATCACTTTGTATGGGATGGATAGCAAATCTGGGCACAGACACCTGGATGATGAGAATGCCTTTCGCCGCAACAGTCTTGACATCTTCCAGGTGGCCACAGAGCGCAACCTGGGCAGCGTGTGGAAGATCCGGATCTGGCATGACAATAAAGGTGAATAAATGCAACAGGGTGCTGAGCTTCGCTGGGCAGCTGGAGGACAGAAATTATGGTTGGAGGTGAAGTCAAGGGCAAGGAATCTCTGCTTTTCATTGGTCTTCATTGGTCAAGAGGATTGATTTCCAGAGAATCCAGATTCAGTATTGCAGGCTAATTCTGCTGACGGTCAGCAGTTCAATTCTGACTGGTTTAAGCTTGACTTCCATTCTTCCGAGGTGGGTGAAATGAAGGCCCAGGTTGTTGAGGTCAAGAGGCTGAGCCTGTAAACCGCTTAGGGAGGGCTGTGAAGCACTGTGAAGAGGCAGATTTAGATTTATAAAATCTAAGTGCTATTGTTAACGCTGTTGCTTTTGAATTTATAATGATCAATTTTTGTCTCCAAGATGCTGTAGGTTCTCACCTGTCACTAAACATGTATTCCATTGCTTTGCAGCCCACATTTAATTTTGTCTACCTCTCCTCCTTTTCCCACACACAACCTGCCAAGCCCCTGTAGATCAAGTTAACTAAGGCCGTGGTTACGTTTGGGTGTCACGTGATGCCCAAACAAGTCTGCTTAACACATTCACCTGCTTCACACAACCTGCTGACAAAGGGTTGAGTTCCCATAGCCTGCTGACATTTGGCCCCCTCGTTTTTGCCAAGCCTATTGGGCAAATCCAGCCATTGGAGTGACTGTTTCCCCTTTGGCTTTTTCCACAAGTTGAAGCCCAGAATTTATTTATGCATTTATTATTATTGCATTGTTCAAGTGACCTTTAGAGCAGGTCCTGGGTCCTGGCCTGTTTAGAACTAGGCTGTGTGCTGCTTGTGCAGAATCATCCTCTCTCTGTCTCGCTCTCTCTCACACACACACACATACCACCGCAACCGCTGGCAGTCCACAAAGCCAGAAAGGCTGCCTTAGAGCAGAGGTCTCCAACCTTGGCAATTTTAAAACATGTGGACTTCAGCTCCCAGAATTCGCTGGCTGAGGAACTCTGGAGTTGAAGTCCACAAGTCTTAAAGTTGCCAAGGTTGGAGAGCCCTGCCTTAGAGAACAAGCAAATAATTCTGACTTGTTAACCCTGCCTGAGCATAAAGACTGATAAAGGGAGAATTCGCACTTTGCAAATCTGCTTGTGAGGAGGGAAGGCAGGGGTTGGGAGGAAGGAGAGGAGGCAGGTATTCTTTGTAGCCCTTTCCAAAAGGGTAGGAAGGCGACCCAGAAAACGGCTAAACCCCAAGGCGCTTTTTCAGGAATAAGGAACTGGACTTTCTTATTCTTTTTCTTTGAAGATGTTTTGCTTCTCAGCCAAGAAGCTTCTTCAGCTCTGGCTGGATGGTGGGAATGGGAGGATTTATACTCCTTGCAGAGAGCTGGTCATTTGCATCCTTTCAGAGGGTCGCTGAGGCCGCTTGGAGGTTTATTTGTTGTCCTTGGGTTCAACTATGTAGTGCTAATGGGTGTGGAGCCTTCTTGGCTGGTCTTCAAAGAAAAGTCCTGTTGCCTCCTGAAAAAGCACCTTTGGGACAAGCGTGACCCGGATGACGGGGAATCTCCATAGACCTCCAGCCTGGCTGAACCGTCTCTCCTTCTGCTTTCCAGGGCTCAGCCCAGCTTGGTTCCTGCACCATGTCATTGTCAGGGACTTGCAGACCTACAAGAGCTACCACTTCTTGGTGAACGACTGGCTGTCTGTGGACAGCCTGGAGAACAACGGCCTGGTGGAGAAGGAGGTGTTCGCTGCCAGTGAGTGGGGCAGCGTGAGCCGGCCCTGGATGCCCCTTGGGCCTCTGCTGGGCCCCTGCTTTGCCCCGATTGGGGAGCTCGACAGTGGGGGCGGCTGCCTGGGTAGAGAAAAGGTCCCCACCCCCACGTTGCCTGTTCTCTTGGTTTTTAGTCTTCATTTCATGTTTCTTAAGTTTTAATTCTTTGGGGTTACCTTTTTATCATGCTGCAAGCCACCCCAAGTCACTGTAACAGTGAGATGGGCAGCATATGAGAGGTGGGTGGGTGGATGGATGGATGGATGGATGGATAGAGAGAGAGATGGATGGAGGGATGGAGGGATGGTTGGATAGATAGATAGATACATGATAGATAGATAGATAGATAGATAGATAGATAGATAGATAGATAGATAGATAGATAGAGATAGATAAATAGACAGACAGACAGATGTAGATGCTGGAAAAGAAAGAAAGAAGAAAGAAAGAAAGAAAGAAAGAAGAGAAAAAGAAAAACTGACTCAGTGGAAGAGGAAGGACGATCCAGAGGGATCCAGCTTGAGGAAGCTAACAGCCATGCTTGGCTTGAGTCTTCACAGCAAGGACAAAATGGCTGCCCCAGATCAGATGCCGATTTTGTGGGAAGGGAAACACAAAAGGAAGGCCTGAACGTGAGAGAGCCGCACTCTTTAGCAAGAACACCAATGATCTTCTCAGAGAGATTCCCCTTCCGCTCCCTCAGGTGGAGTGGATTGGAGTGAGGACGAGCCCACACCAGTCTCCTCCAGCAGAGCCCAGTTCTTGTGGACGGGCCCCTGTAAGGCACGGGGAAGGGGAGGAGAGTCTCCCGTAGCCTCTGCTGCTTCATGCTCTATCTCAATGGCCCTCTTATGCCTTGTGGACTTCAACTCCCAGAATCCCTGAGCCAGCCATGCTCTGCTGGTCCCCACTCCTGCTCCGTAGCCTCCCTTTCACCCGTTTGTCTCCCTCCACAGGTGAGGCCGACCTGAGGAGCTTCTTCCGCATCTTCGTGGGCGAGCTGCAGCGGGGTTTCTTCGAGAGGCACGTCTGGCTCTCGCTGTGGGACCGGCCCCCTCGCAGCCGCTTCACACGGGTCCAGAGAGCATCGTGCTGCTGCGTCCTCATCTTCCTCTTCCTCTGTGCCAATGCTGTGTGGTACGGGGTTGTGGCAGATGCCAACTTCAGGTGAGCCACCAGCATCAAAAGTGTTGCAAGCGCCAGGTCCTTCTCGGCCCAACCTCCGCTGAAAGAAGAACCTTCCACAATCTTTGCCCAAGATTAAATGGAAGAGGGGAGGAGGAAATGTTGGCCCTGCATTATTCCTCCTCTTCAATTTGGCCCCTCCCCCCCCGGGTCCCTAAAGGGGTGACTTTCCCAGGTTCTCCTCATGGCTCCTGTTTAAGCTGCTCAGGAGACAGTGGCCACCACTGACCACCGAAGAACATCCGTGACTCTCTCTCTGGGTCTTTAGGTGCCCCAGGAGACCCTTCCCTACCTTAGTAGCAATTATCTTATTTTTCGGAGTATAAGACACACCTCTCCCCCCCCAAAAGAGGGTGAAAATCTGGGTGCATCTTATACACTGAATACAGCATTGTTGGGCCCCCAAAACCCTGCCCCCTTTACAAAAATGGAGGTGCAGAGGGTTTGGGTGGCCTGCAAAGTGCTCCTGGGGGCAGGGGAGAGCTAAAACAAGCAGAAAATGGGCCATTTTTTGCTCATTTTTGCCCCCCCCCAGCCTCCAGGAGCATCCTACAAGCCTCCTAAAGGCTATGCATGCCCTTTTTTTGTGCATGAATAGCCTTTAGTCTATGCCTTTTTTTCCAGCTTCCAGGAGCACTTTGCAGGCCTCTCAAACTCTCTGCATGCTCCATTTTTCACAAAATATGAGGCATGCTGAGGGTTTGGGAGGTCTGCAGAGTGTTATTTTTTTTTTAAAAAAAATGCCTCTTCAAAAACCTGGTGCATCTTATACTCTGAAAAATACGGTACTCGCCTGCAGCCCCCCTCTCCCCCCTTCAGTCCAAAGTGGGCCTAGATAGATACTGGAGCCCAGCTTGAGTAGTCCTGCCCTGAGTGGAAGGAAGATGAAAGACAGACCCAAAGGTCCTTTATCAAAAGGCAACTGGACTTTCTTGTTTTTCTTTGAAGATGTTTCGCTTCTCATCCAAGAAGCTTCTTTAGTTCTAACTGAAGAAGAACCGAAGAAGCTTCTTGGATGAGAAGCGAAACGTCATTAAGGAAAAACAAAGAATAGCCCAGTTGCCTCTTGAAAAAAGCACCTTTGGGACGACCATGACTTGGATGAGGGGGAATCTCCATAGACAAGAGAGAAAGACACTGGTTCTGGAGCGAATAACACCAGGTATCAGCTCCAAATGGGATGAGGCGGCTTCCTGTCCCAGAACGAATGTTTGCACCATCTTTAAGCTTTTGAGCCCCTTGCAAAGGGTTGTGTGCTCAAGGCAGGGCAAGGTTTACACCAATTTAATTTGAATTGATAAGTCTTAATTTAAATATGATAACTGCCATGTTTAATCATTTCCCCCTCTTCGGTACATTAAACGTTACCGTTTGTGGCAGATTTTGTTCAATTGAAGGAAGCTGGAAGTCTGTCTCAAGCCTTTGGGGTCCTTGTCTTTCTTCTGGGTGTAATGGAAGAAGAGAAGAAGGGCAGAGGAAGACAGCTGGGTGCCTCCTTTCCTCCCACTCAGTTCACAAAATTGACCCGCTGGGCATCCCCTCTCTGCAAATGGGCCTTCCTGCTGTCTTGATTCCCACAGGCTTAAATCTAGACTGGTGCAACCTCTGGGCAGGACGCTCAGTGTAAAACCTGCTGGGATATTTTTATTTTGTTTTATTTATTTAAGAATAAATTCTTAAAATGTATTGTTTTAATATAAAAAAGGAAAAACACTGCAGAAAGAACGAAATACAAAAACAAAACTGCAATATGTAACTTCCTACTATATACAAGAAATTAAGCAGCTTCATTTTTAAACATGTCATTAGCACAGCTGCCTGGAACAGCATCGATTGATTGCCTGATCTTTCCACTCCATCCATACAGAGTCCATTCTTTTCAAAAACCTAATTTGTTTCAGTGATCCAAGTTTGTACATCTGGAACTGCATTAAATAATAACATCGCTGTATAAATTATTACTTTTAATACAGTTAAGTCAAAATACCGAGCCTGGCCCCCATCATCTGAGCCACCCATTTTATTCTCCCAACATAATGAGCTCAAAAGATTCCTAGAAGAGCCGCTGATGCTCAGGTTCCCTCAGAGGCAGAAAAGTTTAAGCAACCTTAAACACTCAGAGAACCAGTTGGGCCCCTTTCCCAAAGAAAAGAAAACACCGGGAGCCACAAAATCTGAGTGGGCGTGGCCAACTTGATGCCATTCCTTCCCACCCAGACACATGACACCCCCCTCCCCCGCCATGTCTATCCAGCCGGTCATAGAGAACCGGTTGTTAAAAGACACGCAGAACCACAAAACGCTTTTGACATCTCTCTCTCTCCCTCCCTCTCTGCATCTCTCTCTCTCTACCCCCCCTCCCTCTGTCTCTCACTCCCTCCTCTCTTTACCGTGTTTCCAGACATGGCCTTATTTTCTTTTGACCCCCAAAATAAGCGCTTGGCCTTATTTTGGGGGAGGTCTTATTATTTTTGAGGTGCAGGAGGCAGTGAGTGTGGTCACCTCATGGCTGCTGCTGTGTTGCAATGTTTTTGGGGAGGAGGCTTATTTTAGCACATGCGCTCAAAAGCCCAATTGGGCTTATTATCTGGGGAGGTCTTATTTTGGGGAAACAGGGTTAGACAATAAACAGCATTGAACCCCTGTCTACATTTTCTGGAGTCTTGTTGACAGGCAGACAAACAGCTTCCAATTGACACTTTTTTGGTTCTGTTTTTAGTCCGAAGCCCATCTCCACCCTGATCCCAGTTAATGGCGAAACAGTCTTGGTTGGCTTGGTCTCCAGTTTGGTGGTTTATCCTGTGTACCTGGTTCTCCTGTTCCTCTTCCGGATGGCACGGAGCAAGGTAACAATGGAAGGGAGCCCATTTAAAACGTGTGGAGTTCAGAACAGCTTCCCTGTTCCCTAGGAAGTCCAAAAGAATGGCCTGGGAAGGTTTCATTTAGGGGTTCCACAATGCCCCCCCCCCAACTCTTAAAGATGTCCCAAAGGTGCTTTTTGAAAAGGCAACTGGGCTTTTTCCTTGAAGACGTTTCTCTTCTCATCCAAGAAGCTTCTTCAGTTCTGACAGAATGGTGGAAAATGGAAAGATTTATATTCCTTGTTAAATCCTTCCATTCTCCACCATTCAGTCGGAGCTGAAGAAGCTTCTTGGGTTCAAAGTAGCTGAACAGTCTGGTGCTTTATTTGCCTATATATGAGGGGAGGGACTACTTATAGGGCCAGAGAGATATTGCCATTCTGGTTTTTAAAAAAGCATAACATTTGTAATGCCTTAATTATCCTTATGTTCACACAAGAAATGAAATATGGTGCAAATTCTTGCTGTTAGGTTTTCCCAATAAATAAAAACATATCTTATTTGCTGTGCAGCTCTGTTAAATATTTAAAATATCATGTTCATATTTTCAAATAAAGTTTTTTTTCATACATGTAAAAAAAAAGTAGCTTCTTGGATGAGAAGATAAACTTTTTGCTTTTCCTTGAAGCAAAGAAAGTCCACTTGCCTTTAGAAAAAGCACCTTTGGGGCAACCATGACCTGGGTAACTGAGAATCTCCACAGACTTGAAGATGTTTAGTTTCAGAAGTTGCTCAAACTTCAATCTCCTTGGAATAAAGTTGTTGGAATTTGCTCTCTTGTAATACTTGCATTGTCTGTTGTTGACTATAATGACACTACAGGAATCTCCAAGGACTCAACAGTTCAATTTTTATAACAAATTTCCAGATTTTTAAATAGTGATGTTCCAATTGAAACAATATTTTTCCATTGTTTTGTAATAAGAAACTTGGCAGCTAAAAATAGCAATGGTTTTAATTCCCTATGTTGCATCAATTTTGATGCCTTGGAAAATAAGGGCAATAAACCAACATCAGCAGCAGCGTTCATTATGAAAGATCGTAAGCTGATTTGTCTGACTTTCTTCAAATATTTTTAATCTAAAGAAATGCCTAACTGGGCACTGACATTAAAAATGGTAATCTATACCAGTTGGCTTATAAATCTTGTGTACACAATCCGGAAATTTTGCAGTTTACTTATCTGCATATTGTCATGTTAGTCGATATACATATCCAGGTCATGGCTGTCCCAAAGGTGGTTTTTCAAAAGGCAACAGGACTTCCTTGGTTTTTTCTTGAAGAAATTTCGCTTCTCATCCAAGAAGCTTCTTCAGTTCTGGTAGAATTCTCCACCATTCATTCAAAGCTGAAGAAGCTTCCTGGAGGAGAAGCAAAATTACTTCAAGGAAAAACAAGGCCCAGTTACCTTTTGAAAAATCCCCTTTGGGACAAATTGAGGCAGATTTAAATTTCTGTTCCTCCACCCCGTGATCTCACCTCCCTCCCTCAAGCAGCCTCCTCCCCTGCAGGTGACCATCAGCCAGTCTCTGGCCCATTCAGACCAGCAGTCTTTGGAGATTGACAACTACCTGGACTCATCGCTTCTGGAGAGCTCCTTCATCACTTTCCCTGGACTTCGGACAGAGGTGAGGAGAATCAGGGCTTCCCCTTTTCTCTCCATGCCACCCTGCAACCTCTAGCCGGTCCTGGGAATCTTTTCTTATACACACATACACAGGAAAAAAACATAGATGTCAATATAGCTATGAAATGGGGCCCTTCGCATCCTCAGGGCCCCAGGACCGGGCACAATGCTTCTTGTGGAAGGCCAACAGAGTTGGGGTCCTCCTCAACTCTGAGGGGAGAATGTTCCAGAAGGAAGGGCTATGGCAGAGAAGGCACATCTCCTGTCCCTATTCTTTGGCTGGGGGGACCCAACCTGTCCTGTCCAACCAAACTGGATGGCAGAAACCACCAGAGAGGATGGTCTCTTAAGTAACCTGGTCCTGAGCCGGACAGGACAGGACAGGACAGGACAGGACAAGACAAGACAGTTCTGGCCTAGGCTTCCTGATACAATAAAAAGCACATGATTAGGTCCAAAAACCCTCTTTTTACTTCAAAGGCTGTGAATTATTCTCATTCACAACCCATAATGAGTCCCAAATAGTTTGGAAAGAGTTCTGCAGAAGGCTGCCAAAGTCCTTTGGGATAAGGCTGATAAGCACCCACCTTTGTCTTCTTTGAAAACAATGCCAAAGACTTAATTGGCAATTAACTTGGCAAGGCCACATGGAGCAAAGAGTCCAAACGTATTTTCAGAAGGTAAACTGACCAGCATGAACCAAGTTGCTTCCTGCAAACGCTCACGTGCCTTTGCTCCTCCTTTATGTCTTATGGGAGGCGCCAATCACCTCCAAACCTTACTCATGAGTCGTCCCTTTTGTCTTAACTGTTCTTGCCTTCTGGCACCTCTGCCTCTCTGCTGTCCAACTCTGGAGGCTCTGGAGACAGTACATAACTCCCATATGGCCCTGGCCTCCTCTCTGCCTCCAATGCAGAGCCCTCATCTGAGCCTTCCCCAGACTCCAGGACTGACCCATCTTCCTCCCCAACCTCCTCACTGTCCAAATCTGCTGCCAGTTCCCTAGGCTGCCGGCAGACCACAACAAAGACAAGACATAACCTTTATTGTCTCTTTTTTTTCTGTGAACACACTGGCAAACATGAAAAAATGAAATTCTGATGTCTCAAGAAAGCTGTTACAGAATCTAGTTGTTCTGTTTGGTTATTGTGAAGCCTCCTCCATGGTTTATATGCCATGTCCTGGATGGAAGGAAGGTGAACTTCCAATAATCTTTTCTGCTGTCCTCATCACTCTCTGCATTGCCTTCCTGTCCGAAGCAGAAATGCTTCCAAACCAGACAGTAACAGGGTATGACAGGATGCTCTCAATTGTCCCTGTCTAGAAAGGGCATCTCAAGGACAGCCAATGGGCTAAACGCTTGTCCCTTTCACTCTCTCTTCCTTTACAGGCTTTTTCAGAGGAGACCAAAACCGATTTGATCCTGGACGATTCAAAAAGGTAAGTCCTTGGCTCGACCAACAGCTTAGCCTTGTAAGAACAGCCAAGCTTGGCTCAGTGCTGCCACCTGCTGTTTGCAAGTAGAGTTTAGTCGTATGGGAGCAAGGCTGAGAAAAGTAGCCATGGACTGTAATTGAGCCCGGAATTACGTATTAAGTCATTGTGGTCATTAAGCAGGTCACCATGTGACCATGCCCAATTTTATGACTTTTTTAATGGTCTTTAAATGATGTGGCAGTCGTTAAGGAAATCTGTTTTATCCACTGAGTGGTTTTTTTTGCCAGAAATCAGAAATAAATGCTGGAAACTGGCAAAAAATGTTGAAAATTGTGACTGCAGGACACTGCAAGCAGCCAAAGTTGAGCTGGTTGTTGCATGCCCAGTGGAGGGGGAGGGGGTTGTGGTCATCAGAACTTCAAAATTGGGTGGTAACTTCGAAGTTCATTAAGTGACCCATCATAAGTGGAGAACTACCTGTACAAACCTTGAGACCAGATTTGGAGGAAGGGGGAGAAGCAGAGTAGATGGGAATTCTCAGTTTCCCTCCGTTCCATTTTTGGACCAGCCTGATCCGGTGGCAGTCCAACGAAGCCCTGCTCAACTGGCCAGACCTGCTCAGCGACCCGTCCATCATGGGCAACACCATCCAGAAGCTGAAGAGAGGGCGGACCAGTCGTCATCTCCGCCTCGAGGCTCCTTTGGCCCCTGAGGGGGACGGCCAGACTCCGGTCTTTCCCCAGGCTCAAGCCAAATACTTCTCCGCTTCCGGTAAGGAGGGGAAGGAGAAGCCACTGGGGGCTTGCAAGGGACTTTGACATCTGGTGTAGAATCGGCCCTTAGATCTGCCCAGAGGGGGACCTTGTGTGAAGAATCAGAGGGGCCATGAGAGAAAGAACAAGGGGGGGGAGGGCTCCCACAGGGTATCTGCCAGGGGTCTGAAGCACCGTCAGATTTTTATGTGCATTTTGTGTGTGGGACACAATTCAAAAGGGCAGAACCTTGATTGCACCATCATGCCTTTTTTTTACCACATCCTGGAGACCCCTCAATGTTCTCTTTCTAGGATATCTCTGCATTAGAAAGGTTTTTGCAATGCAGAGCCAGGAAAAACTCTGAGCTTCACATGTTATTCATGCCCACTGCTAAATCAAGGTTTTAAAAGCTGGTTTGTTGGACCTTGCTAACCCAAATCAAGCCTTATTGAGTCCAGTGGGCACCTGTTTCACCTCAACCTGCCCAGAGTTTCCAGTCCTCAGGAAGTCCTAGGAGGCTAGGCCAAACGTGTTAACGGTTCTCCCCCACAAGTGCTCAGGCTGGAAGGAAAGAAAGTGGGAGGGAGGGAGGGAGGAAGGATCCCTCTGACTTGGAGGACAGTGACACCAAGAGGACTTAAAGAGGAACTTGCAGACCAACTTCTGCAGAGGAGACATGAATGAAGTGTCAGGCTCATCATCACCGACTTGGTGCCTTGCCAGTGCCCTGCCATAAAGGCAGGAGGGGGGAGGGAGGATGAGGGTTTATTCGGTGCTATTAACTATAACTTCAAACGTGGGAACTAGGGAGGGGGCAGTGACAAGGAGGAAGACGGATCACCAAACTGGCTTCTACAAGGATCTTCAAGGCCATTTGCCCTGACAAAGAAATGTTACCAGTTTGACACCTCTTGTGTGAAGATTGAAACATTTTACTTCTTCTGAGTTTCTATCACTTTTCATCTTGCCATTCAAGTGGGAGGAGGGAGGGGGGCCAATGGAATGCTAAGCTTTCAATGTCGCAGTTGTTAGACAGAGACACGGACTCTTTCTCATAACAAAAGAAAGTCTTATAATTGGACAATGTGAGCATCCAGTGGTCGGGAGAAAGGGAATCTATTGTTTAACTAAGTGAACTTTTGAATGGGGAAACCAGAGCTGGTTTTACTTCTGCAGTTCTGAGATGGTGTGTCCAATAAAGTTATACTTTGGGGAATTTAAAGATCCTGAGAGTGTCTATTCCTTTGAGGTTCGCTAGTCGGACCGTTGACATTAAACCAGCTCTCACCAACTTAACACACCCTTCTTGGACGCCTCCGAGAGAGCTGTAACCTATCATGGGGGGGGGGGATTGCGAATTGGAAAGAATAGCTTTGTATTTTGGGTGAAAACTCCAGATTCCAGGCCTGCCCCAGTCGTCTCTCTCAGAAAAGTGAGATCCGCGCAGGTGCTGTATGCTCCGTGTGCCTGCACGGAAGCCCCGAAAATTTTGAATACCGGTAAGGCGCGTGGGTGGAAAGGTGGGCTCTCCGGAGCACCGTACAGGAACAATACCGGTTGTAATCCACCACTGATCTGTGTGTCCCAGGTTAATGTTGCAGGTTCCAACCTGGGTCGGTCACCGGGACGAGAGGTTGAGTCTTCTGAGCTTTGGGACTCGTGCTGGAGCCCATCCTCAGGCAACTTCTCTCTAGCAGACATGGACAGGCGTCTTGATCTCCCTCCCGTCACAAATTTCCCATAGGGTTTCCAACGCAGGGCCCAGAGAGGACGGCCTGCCCCCATTCCCTGTGGGTGGAAGGATGTGATGTTTCACAGGGGAGGACTCCCTTCCCAGCAATTGGGCAATGCCGTCTGTTGGTATGGTGGAACGCTTGGTCTTGTGAACCTAGTAGGAAGACAGGCCATGCCCCCCCACCCGCCCCACACACACAAACACACCCTCCCTCCACAACACCCATCGGAGGTATCATTTGCCCTGAGAACCCTGTTTGTTCTTCCCATAACAGATGAAGATCTGATACGGCAGATTCTTGCAGACGGAGCTGGTGGCATCCCCCATCTTCAGGAAGTGGGAAATTGCCCCAAGGTGGAAAAAGACCTCCTCTCTGGGCTGTAAGTCTGTGGGGAGGAGAAGGGATATGTTGAAGGGTGGGGAGAAAGGAAGCTCTCAGAAGTACCCCCTCCCAATCTCCTAGGTTGCATTTCTGAGACAGAGAGATGCAACATGTGCAAAAGGGGGCAGTGCATTGTGTAGGGTTTCCCTTGGCTGACTTGCACCTGGCTTCTCACCTGGTGAATCAGGAGGAAGATGGGCTGAGAGGCGAGTGGAACACACCCCCCCCCCAAAAAAAAAGTTCTTAGTTTCTTCCTGCCAATGTTTGAAGGCGTTCCTGCATTGGATTATTCCGGTAGGTCAAACATGCCGGGAGACAAGATGGAAGCGATCGTCTTGCAGAGGCTGAACGAGAAAGGCCAGAGCGTGGCAGCCCCTGGCCGGGAACTGAATCATTCCGCCAAATCAACCCGAACAGGTAACCTTTTCTGGCCCCACCTGGGGAAGTGCAAAGGCCTCAGGCCTCCCACATCCCTTCCAAATAAGGCATACAAAGACCTGATGCTCTTAACTTGCAGGGCGTCTCACAGCTGCCTTTCTGGTGGGATCTCAGTGCCAAGATGCCAAGAGACCCTGGTCTAGAATTGCCCTCCAGGCAATGGGTGGGGCTTTTTCCTACATAGTATCTGTACCTCTTTTCCTGCAACTCAGTTGTGACTGTGTCACTTTTCTATCTCTTTGTTAAATAAGCCTTAACCCAAAATTCTTTGCCCTGGTGGGGCATCTACAAGCAGGGAATCAGAAAAGTGAAGGATCAACTATGCCTATCTTTTGTACATTTGTTGCATTCCTGGAGGATGCTGAAATTACTCTCTGAAAGTATTTGGGTGTAGCATTCAGGCTCCTGCAGGCCTCATCTCACCTTCAGTGGCATGAAGTCCCTGCTCAGTGTGGTTCTTACCCACCTGGGGCATTGTGCCAAGATTTACCTCCCCACCCCATTTTTTCCCTGCAGTTGTGGACCACAATCTCCAGAAGTGCCTGCTGCCCTCTTGGTGCTCCTACTTGGCACACGCCATCAGCCTCCTCCTCCTCCTCGTCTGCTTTGGCATCTCCGTGTGGATCGGAGTGGGGTTCAGCTCCAGTGTGGCCCTCATGTGGCTGATCTCAGGGATTTTTAGCTTCCTCTCCTCCTTTTTGCTCTGGGAACCCCTTAAGGTAAGTTCTCACAGAAGATGAGACCCAGAAGATCACTCTAGGTTCCCTCCTCAATTCCCTCCGGTGGTTGGTTCCCTTTCTCTCTGGCCACATTCCATTCCCTACCTTCCCCTCGTTTCCACGTTCCATCTTTTTTTTGTTTGTGCTGCTAAAATTTGAGTAGGCATCCGACAAATTTTTTTTTTGAGAAATTTTTTTAGTTTTAGTTAAACAAAAAAGAAAAAAGAAAAAAAATCTTTTGTTAAATCTTGTTGAAAGCGTATCGATTGGTTACAAATATATTCCGTCCGTTTCTTCCACAGTCCTTACATATACTTCATTCAAATCATGTTGTACATTTTAAGTCAAGAAAGGAAAGTTATATATTTTACTATCTCTGTACCATAATTCTCATTTGGTTACCATTATTTAAACATGTTTTTATCTAGAATCATTTATATTAGAAGAATGAGAAAATTAAGAAAAGTAGATGTGCCAGAAACATTTGATCTGTA